TGTCACACTTTTAAACCATCATATTTTTATGAGAACTCATTCACTATTATGAGAACAGCTTGTGGGAAACAGCCCCTGTGATTCAATCACCTTCCACCAGGTCCCACCCTCGACATGTGGGGTTATTATTTGATATGAGCTTTGGGTGGGGACACAAAGCCAAGACAGATCAAAAGTCATATTCTGACAAGAATATTTGGTTACACCACACATCTGGGTCAGAGATACTGCCAGATTCTGTTACATGAAGAAGTCTATGTGATAATTTATCTTTCCTTTTATGGTTAATCTCTTCTTCCCCTATTATCTTATTTCTAATATTCTTTTTGGGCAGAGACAAAGAGTCCTGGGTATAGAGAGTTCCATTTCCTGACATCATTTACATAACCTGTAATTTTCCTGTAACCATGATATATGACACACTGTTTGGGAGTGGCTTCAGTTAAAGGATTCTGATTTACATTTATGTCTCAGTAAGGCTGTCAGGAAGCCTCTCAGAAAGCTATGTGGGATGTGCTCCAGAGTCACCAAAAACCAGCTCAGGAATAAAGTAGACTGCTCCTAAGTCCTGAACTCAGAGAAGGATATCTGCAGTAGGAGTCTGAAATTAACTCCCTGTCACCAAGCTCTTGATTGGTATAGTTGACTATATGGATGTATCTTCTGTATCCCGAGATTTCTCTTCCCCTTGGGTACTCTTGGGAGAGGTAGCTCAGCATTTCTTCTCTGGGATTCCAAGAGGCATGGAGTGATTTGGATTGGACAGTTTTTAGCCATTCTTCCTTATCGTTAGTGCTAGGAAGAACTTCCAACTGTGGAGGGGAGCCAAGTGACTGAATTGTTGGCGGCAGAATAACTCTAGGTGTCCCTTGTAATTTAGGGTTTCTGAATGATCTGCCTACTCAGGAGTGTGTGGCCCTGGACATATAAAATATGTAACCTGCCTTATCACAGGCGTTAATGCCCTATGGACCCTGTGTACACCTGGGAAGTAAATAATACCTCTATTCTCAAGCCATCTGGTATTCACAATGAATTACCATCACCATCAAGGGAGATGCCAGCTCCCATAAACTCAAGAGCAGTGGTGCCCTACAGACTGGCAACATGGCCACCTAATTTTTGTCCATTCTTATAACTTACTCTATACCCTAGGAGATGACTTCAGCCCTTGAGATGACCTAGTTTAAGGCCACTGCCATACGCCAGGTCAAGAGCATCCACACAAGTTTGCGTGCATAAACTTCCAGCAAGCTGCATTTGGCACAGAAACATGGGCAGTTGGAATGGGTGTATAGCTTCTGTTTCCTGGTATTCTATGGAGTGGAACCATGACTATGACCTTTGGGAGAGAAACTTTATGACCCTACTGCTGTCTTGTTTTATGAGTTGAGCATGGCAGCACTATAAGTGAGGAACAAATTTATTGATCTCAAGCTTTCAATTTAGGAAAGTGTTAGCAAATGCCAGTTTCTCAGCATCTGGACACTGCGTTACCAAGGCACTAAGCTTGGGCAAGACACAGAGCCAGCTGGGGAGGGAGGCCCATGACTCAGCATCACAGGGACAACCTAGAGATGCCTCCCAGGCTCATGCACAGGACAGTCATCTTGTATCCACAGTCACAGGAATGAAAAGGGAATGCCCTAAAGCATCTGATGAAAATATGCTCATCATCTCACCACCGTAACTGCCAATCTATCTGCTTGTGAAATTATAGTTTTTAGTCTTGCACCTGTCGTTAAAGATGAAAGGACCCTTCCACCAGTGCCAAATTGTTCCTTTTATTTGATGGATACCATCCCGTATTGCCAAATTTCCATAAAATTTTCTTCTGCAATTGTGTAATTCCTCTTCTGCATCTCTAATTTCTACCCCCCAATCAGATTATTCTCATCATTCTATAAACATGACATAATATCAACAATATTTTAAAAATTAAAGAAGATAATATCCCTTTAGCTCACATTCTTTTCTGATTCCCCATCCAATTTGTTTCCTCAACAAAACATCTTGACATTCCTGTCTCTAGTCATTTGCTCAGTCTCACTGCCACTAAAAACAGACTTGACCCTGACCACATTGCTTCCCACAGGCTGCTCTTATCAAGGTCTCCAAAGTGTCCATACTGCCACATTCAGCATCTCTGAGATCTTCTTCAGTAATAGCTCAGCAACATTCATCCAAAAATCACCACATCTCTCTTCCCTCCCTTGACTTCCTGAACACTGCCTTCCTCTGCCTGTTGTTCTTGCTCTCAGACACCTCTCTTCCATTCTTCTTCTCTGACTCCTTTCCTATCTCTTCTCCTCTAAATGACATTCCCCAGGATTCTGAGCTGTCTTCTCTCCTCTAAATATTCTCTATTATTTAGTGATTCCATTCAGTCCCAGGATTTTAAATATTAATTGTATTTAGTCCCAACATTTCTCTTGAACTAGGTTCTATACCCAAGGCAACATCTTCAAATATATATGTAACTAAGATTCTAGATTCTAATTCTAAAATCACACTGTTTTTTTTTTTTTTTGAGACAGAGTCTCACTTTGTCACCCAGGTTGGAGTGCAATGGCACCATCTCGGCTCACGCAACCTCCGCCTCCCAGATTCAAGCAATTCTCCTGCCTCAGCCTCTTAAGTACCTGGGATAACAGGCACATGCCACCGCACCTGGCTAATTTTTGTATTTTTAGTAGAGACGAGGTTTCAACATCTTGACCAGGCTGGTCTCGAACTCCTGACCTTGTGATCCACCCGCCTCAGCCTCCCAAAGTGCTGGGATTACAGGTGTGAGCCACTGCACCTGGCTAAAATCACACTTTCAACTGCCATCTTATATATCAATTTAAGTATCTAATAGACCTCTCAATTTTAACAGTAAAAACAAAGCTTCATTCCCCACACTGCCAAAATTGCATTTCTCGGATTTCCATACTTAGAGAAGTAGAATCAATAACTGCTTAAGCTAAAAATCAAGACCTTGCTGTTGTTTATTCTCTGGCTTACTCCCTCATACAGTTCATTCCAAGGCTATGATTGTTGGGATCAAAAATATGTAAACTATCTCATGAAAATATACCATTTTTTATTGTTAGTATTACTACCTCATCCAAGGCACTTCCATATCTTTTTCTTTCAAGAAAGGGTCTCGCTCTGTTGCCCAGGCTGGAGTGCATTGGTGCCATCACAGCTCACTGCAGCCTCAACCTGTTGGGCTCAAGAGATCCTCCTGCTCAGCCTCTTGGGTAGCTGAGATCACAGGTGTGTGCCACCATGCCTGGCTGATTTTTTAAAACTTTGTGGAGATGATGTCTCTCTACAGTGCCCAAGCTGGTCTTAAACTCCTGGGCTCAAGTGATCCGCCTGCCTCCGGCTTCCAAATTGCTGGGACTACGGGTGTTAGTCACCGAGTCACTTCCATGTCTTGCCTGGACTACTAAAAATACATGTTATCTGGCTTTCCACTCGACCATTTAATCCTTCTATGTGTTCTCCATCTAGCAGCCAAATAAACTTTTAAAACCACATAAAATATATCATGACATTCTCATGCTTAAAATCTTCAGGTAGCTTGTCATCAGCCTCAGAGATAATTAAAATTCCTCTCCCTTGCTGACTAAACACAACTTGCTCTGACCCTGTCTCCTAACAGTCTCTTTTTGCCTTCTGAGTATTACAACGAAAGGAATCTATCATGCCAAATTATTGTATAACTGTATTTTCTACGTCTAACCAAGTACCAGTGAGCCTGAGCTAAGAACAGCCTGACTCATTATCTGTCTGGGAAATACATTATCTTTGGATAGAAGACCACAGTGTGCTCACTTGTCTTTTGTCTGAGGAGACTAAATTGGCTGTGTTCTGTCCACCATGCGCCCCTCACTGCATTTTAGGTGTTCAGATTATGTCAGATACCTTTGGAAGCTACAAGGACCTTTCAGAATTAATAATTTGTCCCCATTCACTGAAGCACACAAACACTCTAGAAACGCTTTTCCATAAACCATCCTGGACAGAAGACTTTCTGATCCTGTGTTGTGTTCATTCAATAATAGATTCAGTCAGACTATTCAGAAAGGAGAGAGAAAACTAAAATCAACCCAATGGAACAATTTACTACTGAAAAGCAGTTATCCCTTCAACTCAGATGCAGATTTATATTATGTTAAAGGAAATAAAACAAATATTAACAGCTGTTTGTAAAATGCCTGCTAATATGGGAGGCATTAGTCAAACAACTTTTTGTACAGTTCTTCAGGATCCACAGACAATCTGCAGCATATTACCTGAATTATAATGTTCTATCAATATTAGCTGTTATTGTAAAAAAAAGTATTCATACATCACTGTTGTGATGTGATCTCCACACTTTGGAGAGAGGAATGTGATCTCCATATTTTGCGGATAGGAAATGGAAGCTTAAATGGTAAGATAATTGATTTTTGTTTAGAAGTTTGATAATTAGCAGATTTAGCTTTTAAACTAAGGTGTACTGGCTCCAGAGTGCTAGCTGTGGTCATACCAGGGTGGCCCTAATTTAAAATTCCCCACTCCTCTTTACCTTGCAAAGATGCTTACCTAAGGTGCTTATGAGCCTTTATCTTCCTATATGTGAGCTTCTCCCCTCTGTGCTACCAGTTCCTGAAGCTTAAATATCCTGACTTTTTTAGAATTTGTCATTTCCACTTAATAAGGGGCCCAGTGCACAGTGGGCTCAATAAGCATTTGAAGAAGGAAATAACAAAAATGCTGGCATGTAGCAGGCATTTCACAGTGGACCGCAGGAGAATGAATGATGTTAGCTACTGCATAGTGATGCCTCTAAAAACAGAGGCGAGTAGGTTCTTTTCACTTTACCATTTCTGTAATCATGTTTAAGCAAACTCACATAGCTTTCATTATGTGTCAGCAATTGTTCTAAGCAATCATGTATTAACTCATTAAATTTTCTAAATAACTCTCTCGGGGTAAAAACTATTATATTCATCTTATAACTGCAGAAGCTGAAACAGAGCCACATTAAATGTATCCAAGGCCGTATCTGAAAATAGCAGAGAACAGAGACAGTCCCAGGCAGCCTGGCTCTGACTCCAGCCCTCGTCCTGTTGACGGTGCTGTCTTTTCAGAGGCTGACATCTCCTGGAAGTGCAGGTAAATCAAATTCCCAGAAATTAAGTGAGAACTGGAAAACGGTCAGTGGGAAAACATATTAATATCACCAGGAATTTTAAATAATGATTAAAACAGAAAGGGACTTTTATCTCCCTAAATTTTGTAGTGAGCGCAATGAATTTCTCACCTGGCAAGAATTAAAAGTCTCTGAATTTATAACATTATATCTGTCCACTCTCTTTGAGGCTCACTCTATCTGAGAACACTGAGGCCGACATTTGGATCTAAAACATACAGCCACATATTACATGCTGCTCTCTTAAAAAGGTTCCAAGGGAGACAGATACAATTTACAGCACATTGAAGGGTAGCGTTTTTGCTGAAGATGCATTGTGCATGGTGCCCAACAGGGGAGGAATGTGGAACACATGGACATTGTCTCTTCAATTCTACCCTCAAATGACCCTTACATTCTGAAAACAGCTATCTCAGAATTAGGGAAGGATACTCTACAGCTATACTTGAATATGATATGAATGATTAAAAAGCAATCTTTTATTAAAACAATTGCTTGGATATAAAACTCTCAAATTGAGATTTTTATTTACAATAAAATACATATTAATTTAATAAACACTTTAAAAATCTTTATTTTCAAAGGTTAACATGAAGATTAAGAAGAAAGGAAAAAGTGCTACACATGAAACATCCCCACAGGAATTTGACATATTTGTGGTTTTGGCAATTATGCATAGACTCTCTGGAATACACCTACACAACAGATGTTTTACAGGGTTTTGTTTGTTATAAGCACAAGGGAGTAGACCACACCACAGGAAGTATGTCATTCGATAAAGTGAAAAAATAGTAATATGTCTCCTAAGTGAAATAATGGTAGGTTTAAAAGTGATGGTTTTTAAAAAATTATCTATTTCTTTATTTTGAGACAGAGTCTTGGTCTGTCACCAGGCTGGAGTGTAGTGGCCCAATCTCGGCTCACTGCAACCTCTGCCTCCTGGATTCAAGAGGTTCTCCTGCCTCAGGCCTCCCGAGGAGCTGAAACTACAGGAACCAGCCACCATGCCCTGCTAATTTTTGTAATTTTAGTAGAGATGGGTTTCATTGTATTGGCCAGTATAGTCTCTAACTCCTGACCTTGTGATCCGCCTGCCCCAGCTTCTCAAAGTGCTGGGATTATAGGCGTGGGCGACCATGCCCGGCCAGTTTAAAATTAATTGTATATTCACCTTTATAGGTATAAATTCCTGGGACTGTCAGAGGCTGTGTTCTCTTTGATGTTTCGGATTTTTTCCCATTTATGAATTTATCATTACGGGGCCTGTAAACTGAAGCAACTGAGAGTTTATGGACAGCTACTGGTGATATAATTCTACAAAATTTATAACAAGTTAATCTGACACCAATATAATTCACATAAAATTGTTACTGCCATTAAAAGAATTGTTTGTTTAGATATAAATAAATGTATTTGATAAATATAATTTACAATACTTTTATAATCCATGGTGGTATTTCAAACTTCAGATGGAATGAAGAAAGGGGGGAAAAAGAAGGATCGAGGGAGAGAAGAACGTAGAAAGAGCATGTTGGTCCTTCCTGCCTCACGGACAAGTGTTCCAAGGCTTGTTGCTTTCTTACCTGTCACCATCACACCCACAAGCAGGGAGGACAACTGTGGACCTTGATGCAAAATGTACTTAGGTGAAGGTGGCAACCTCCCCGGGTCGCTAAGGTTGGTGTATATGACACTGTGGATGAGGGTGGATGTCAAGGGAGGGAGGAGGGGTAGCAGGAATTACATGTGTAAGGTGAACATGAATACAAAATCCTGTCTCTAGTTTTTCAATAAAAATATCAAAAAATATTTAGGTCAATATGAATATACAAAATTGAATGGATTTAATTATATACTCACCTATGCATACGTGTTCAGTAACACCTGGTATTTATATGTATAATTTATACATGATTATTATTTACATGTAAATTATAGGACAAAATAGATTATATATTATATGTAGTAAATTTCTCATTATAAATGCTTTTAATATTTATATATTTATAAGATATCAAATTATTTTATTAAGTCTGTATATAAAACCAAATTTTACAGAGGTATTCTAAATGATCAATACAGAGCTATTGCATTTTTGTAGCAACTTAATTTAAAAATTTAATTCAAACTCTGTGCTCACGTTTTGAATATTAGTTACATCCATCCAAGTTGTGTGACATGTAGCACATTTGGGGGTCCACATACGAGGCCATTACTGGAAACTGAATCTCAAGCCACAAGTTTCCCTTCATGTCATGTTAAGAACATTGTAAATGTAGTTTGCTTTATGAATGTAAATTCATCTGCTTCATGATGTGGGTAAACTATTTACTCTATTACTTTTAACGCATATTAAAATAAAACACTTGTTTATAATGACATCCAGCCTTTGAACCTGTGAGATCATTCCCTCCAAATAATTCATAAAGATGTATTCAATTTCTCTCCTTTTCTCCTGTTACTTCAAGTGGCTTTTATAAGCATTGGAGCCATCATTAATTGAAGTTGTTTCAGGTTACATATCTTCCCCCAAACAGTACTTTGTGGTTCAAAATTAAATCATTTCAAAGGTGCCCTGTAATGTGAGACACTTTGTGAGGTCTTAAATACAAGGTGATATCCTTTCTGGGGTATAACTTTGAGAAATACCACTTTATATTGAGTCACATGTGACAGTTTTCTATTCTGTCCTAAATAAAAGTCAACAAAGCAGAAAATAATTTGCTGTCAACACGTTCAGCAGTTGGCATTCTTCTTGCTGTGAATTTCTCTAATTGGCTTGCTCTCCTAGGAGTCCGTGCATAAGCACTGATTGACACCCACTGTGTGCCAGGGGTGGGACGCAGGGGAAAGTAAGCAGATGCTTTCCCTGCCCTCAGGGAGCCTCCAGCCCAGCAGAGAAAACAAGCACTAAACATGTTATTATTTGAGGAAATACGCATTTAAAGAAAACAGAAAAGGGCATGTGTATGATCCTGTAAGATTATTCACTGCAGGCATCCAAACCAGACTAACAGACTCAGGATGGCAGCCTGACTTCCTTACTCAGGTGCCAGTTTCAAAACCCAGCTCTCCCTTTAGTGGACTGTGTCATGGGCAAGTTACTTAACGTTGTATTCTTGGTTTCTTCCCTTTTAAAATGATGATTATGGAAAAGACTACTATATCGTTTGCACTGAAGATAAATTGAGTAAATGGTAAATACATTTATGTATAGTTTCATCTTAATATTAATGCTCATATATTGATTGAATAATTGTGTGTGCGTGTGTGTGGGGTGTGCATGTGTGTGTGTATGTATGTATGTATGTATGTATGTGTGTATGTATAATAGAACAGAAAGCCTGATAGTAACTGTTCTTTGGGTTGTAATTATATTTTTTTCTGGGATTTATTACTTTTAAAAACAGCTTAGGTTTACAACACAACTGAGCAGAAGATACAGAGATTTCCTGCATGCCCTCTGCCTAAACACACGAATACCTTTCCCCTTGATTGATATCCGCACTGGAGTGCTTTATTTGTTACAATTGATGAACCTTATTGACATAATCACCAAACGTTCAAATAGTTCATTAAGCTTCACTGTTGACATACATTTTGTAGGGTTTGACAAATGTATAGTGGCACCTATCCATATCTGCCATGACTCTCATACAGTTTTCGCTGCCCTGAAAATCCTGTGTGTTCCACTTGTTCATCCTCCTTCCACCCAGCCCCTGACAGCCACACATCTTCTCGTGACCTCCATTGTTTTGCCTTTTCTAGAATGTCATATAGTTAGAATCATATATAGACTTTTTAGAATTGGCTTATTTTTATTTAATATGCATTTAAGGCTCCTCCATGTCTTTTCATGATTTGATAGTTCATTTCTTTCTAGTACTCAGTACTATTCCATTTTCCTGACTTACCACCATTTACTCATCCATTCATCTACTGAGGGACATCTGGATTACTTCCAGCTTTTGACAATGATGCATAAAGCTGCTATAACATCCATGGGGAGGTTTCTACGTGGGCATATGTTTTTAGCTACTACAAGTAGATAGCAAACAGCATGACTGCTGGATGGTATGAAAGGAGAATGTTTAGTTCTGTAAGAAAGTGTCACACTGTATCAGTTTGTATTTCCATCAGCAGTGAAGGCACTGCTCTCCATCCTCCTTGGCATTAGATGTTTATGGTATTCTGGATTTTGGCCATTTTAGTAGGTGTGCTGTTCTGTCTCATTTTAATTTGCATTTTCTTATGACGTATGATGTGGAGCAACTTTTCATATGTGTATTTGCCATCTATATATCTTCTTTGTAAAGTGTCTGTTAAGGCCTTAGGGTTGTTTTTTGTTTGTTTGTTTTTGAGACAGAGTTTTGCTCTTGTTACCCAGGCTGGAGTACAATGGCGCGATCTCAGCTCACCGCAACCTCTGCCTCCTGGGTTCAGGCAATTCTCCTGCCTCAGCCTCCCGAGTAACTGGGATTACAGGCACGCGCCACCATGCCCAGCTAATTTTTTGTATTTTTAGTAGAGACGGGGGTTTCACCATGTTGACCAGGATGGGCTCTATCTCTTGACCTCATGATCCACCCGCCTCAGCCTCCCAAAGTGCTGGGATTACAGGCCACCGCGCCTGGCCCAGGGTCATTTTTTAATTGGGTTTTTAACAGTTCTTTGTATATTTTGGATTACAGTCCTTTCTCACATGTGTCCTTTGCAAATAATTTCTCCTGGTCTGTGGCTTATTGTCTCATTCATCTGGCATTGTCTTTTGCAGAGCAGTTTTTAATTTTAATGAAATCCAACTTACCAATTATTTCTTTCATTGATTGCGCCTCTGATGTTGTGCCTAAATAGTCATCACCGAAGGTTATCTAGTTTTTCTCCTGTGTTATCCTGTAGGAATTCTGTCTTTTGCACTTTACATTTAGAATTGTGACCGATTTTAACTTAGTTCTTTTGAAGCATGTAAAGTCTCCACTTAGATTCCTTTTTTGTTTGCTTTTTCTTTGCTGTTTTTTGTTGCTTTTGTTTTTGTTTTGTTTGTTTGCTTTTTGCACATGGATGCCCAGCTGCTGCAGATCCATTTGTAGAGGTCTATCTTTGCTTTATGGCATTGTCTTTACTTTGTCAGAGATGTGTTGACCATATTTGTGTGTGTCTGTTTCTGCCCTCTCTATTTCTTTCCATTGATCTCTTTGTGTATTCTTTCACCAATACTACACTGTCGTGATTCTTATCCCTTTATTATAAGTCTTGAGTCTGGAAGTTAGTGTCAGGACCCCACCTGTGTTTGTTGTATCATTATGCTTTCTACATAGCGTGCAAGAAAAAATATTTAATATGAAAACATAAGTGATGACTGCAATTCAATATGGTAGAGGGTGAGTGAAGAATAGAGGACAAATGGAAGCCATGAGAGGTAGAGAGGGAGGCAAAATGGCCGACCCTCAATTAGAAAACAATTTAGATTTGAAGATCTTAGAAAGGGACAGAAAGTTGAAGCATGAGGCCAAAGGAAAGAAGGCAATTTAATTATCCTGCTGAAGACAGGTAGTCTTTTGTTGTTGCTATTGTTTACAGACAAGGGAGTGTAAAGTTAATAAACAGAGATAGAAATGAGACCTTAAGGAATGAGAGAAAAAGTGGTAGAGAAAAGGCAGACTATACAAAAGAAAGAAAGAACCTGGGAAGTCCACTGACCTTCTCTAAAAGATAAGAGGTATCAACTCCCTTCTTACCATTTTTTGAAGAGGTAGATTTCACATGAACGGGTAGTTTTGTCCTCATTCTGTCATTTTGTCCAGTTCTTAATTCTCTGCATTTACTGAATATGGTGGCAACTGCTGGTGCTCCGTCAAACCACTAGAGGGAATTTCTTTTCTTCCTCAAGCCCTTCCTCACCTTATCACAGGCTCCAGTTACAAGAGTCACTTACATTCTTCAGGATTTGTATTCTGCTCATGCTTCCTAAGGAAGAGAGACAAGTAGAGTATAACTCTGTAATTCTTTCTGGTATCTTCTCATGATTTCCAGCAACCATTGAGGTCTCTGGCAAAGAAGAACTAAAGAAATATTTATTTGAATCATGAGCTGCTAATAGGTCAGTAAACAGGATTTATTAAACACAGCTGTATTCGAGACTCTGAACTGGGTGGACCATAGGGAAATACAAAATTCACAGACTGATGTGATTTTCTTACTAGTAAGAAATCTTACAAAAGCCTCAATTAAAAAATCATAAATGGGGGCAACCCAATCACATAAAAGTAATATATCCATGTGATTGAAATACTAGGGAAAATTGAGAAGTAGAATTTAAGTGAGAATTTCAGGCAGGGCTCTGAACGATTCTACAGGATGACGTCAGAATTGCCCATATACCAGATGCCTGTGTGAAATCACAAACACAGAAATCAATGAGGCATGTATGGAAGCACAGACAGTGATTGCCTAGTTAGAAAAAAAGCACGAAAGGATCAGTTAAGAGAAAGCAGCAGAGTTTGATGCTCATCTGCAGTAAGTTGGGAGAGCAAAGTTAAGCTCTTCCCAGTATACTGCTAGACATTAATTTCCGCTCTACCATGTGAAATTTTGTAACTATGAGCAAGCTATTTAATATTCTGCAACTTAGTTTCCTTGTAAATAAAATGCAGTTAGTAATAACTAAGTCATGAATGATTAAATGGGCTAATGTATTTAAAGAAATTAGAATAATGCTTGCTCTATTATAAATGCTCGGTAAATATTAGCATTGTTGTTAATCATCTCTAACCTTTTGCCTGGGATCTGCTACATACATTCTTATTCACATCTAATGAATACAAAATGTTACATTAAAAATGACTTTTCTAAAATTAAACAGTTTTCTCATGTCACTCCGTGACACAAAATTCTTCAATTGCTCTTTAATGCCATTAGTCTTAGCATGTTAACCAGAAATCCCTTCCAATTTGGTTCTTGCCCAGCTTTATAGATTCATTGTATAAAAGTTGTCTTTTTGTTACTGGCAGGTAAGTTGAACTGCAGCCATTACAAATTGCTTGCATATAGTCAGGCAAACAAGATCCGTCTTCTTTCTCTTCCTTTTGTACATTGGAGACTGTATTTCTAATTCTAACTTACACACATCTCTTCATGGAGGTGAGCAGTTCCCCATCATTTTAAGTTTAGTTTAGATGATGTTTATTTAGTATAGCTTCTTTCATTACCATTTAGAGTTAAAGCCTCTCTTCTCCATCCAGAGTTCATTTTTTTTGATAAATATGCACCTGCACTTAGGTCATTGAAATTAGTGTGTGTTTGTAAGTTCATGATCCATTCTATGCATGACACTGTATTTATAAAAAATTCTCAAAGATTATGTTATTTTTCTTGTCTTCAAAAGGAAGATTAGGTTGAAACACCATAGGTATCTAATGAAGATTTTTTTTAAAGAGTGAGTAACTAAACAAATATAATAACAAATGCTTAAAGTCTATATAAATTGATGTTTCTTCACATCTAACTGTATGTGTGGAATACCTTCAATAATGTCACAGATATATGAAGATGAGTATATGTGTAAATAATTTTACTATAAATAATGTTAGGTGGTAATTGCTACAGTAGATGCATGGCAGTGGAGTCTATTTTCATCTGAAGAATCTGGGAAGAACTTGTTACTTGGTAGAATAAGAGTTTTATTAAAATTCTAATTTGATTAGATAAATACACCCTAAAAGAGCTGTAGTTTTACATTTAAGAAAGTGGAGAATACAGAAGAGACAATTCATACTGTTTTCAGACCTCGAGAAAGGCTGATTGAGTAACATTATCAAATATACCAACATCAATTGGAGATATTTCAAATCATGAGATCGTGGGTAAGCTGTTCAGTAACTTCATTCAACAAGACTAAATGCTTTAAAAAAAGAAGTAAAATAACTGAGGTTGTCATAAGTTTTTTCCTGTGATGAAAGAAGATAGCCACAATATAAAGGAGTCTGCAAAATATTAAAACAGGAGCTTGTCTGTAAAGGATTTTATGAAGAGCTTCATTTCAAAAGGTGTTGCTGTAATTCAGGGTTTCTTGATGCAAGAGACAGCTGGAATTGATAATAGTATTTCTCAAGGCTGTCATTAGTTCTGCAGTATTAGCTTAAAATTAGTATAGAGGACAATACAATGTTCATACAGATTTTTGGTTCAGTTTCTCACAACATATAAAAGATAAAATGATATATTTTTAATAAGACATCAGGCCCTGTTTATTTTTCCAGAAAATAGTAGTCTCTATTTTTACAAGTATATTATCAGTGTATAAATATAAATATATATTATTTACTAGACATATGGAAACTAAATTGTAGTCATGTAATCTAATTACAGAAGAAACTTCAAAAACAAAAGGTTTTCCCTTAAAACAAATAAATTTCACTCAATTATTTATTATAAATCTATAAGGGGAGGATTTATAATAGTAAAGCATGCATGTTGCTGTTCAATAAACAAGGTAAATTTGTTAACTGATATGTCGATAGCAAGCTTTTTATCAAGATAATCAGTTACATGTCATCTGTTGGATTCTAGATGGTTATTGTTAACTCCAGGATAAGCTTCCATTAGTACATAACCTCATTCTGTCAAGAGCCAATGCAGACTGGATACATCTGAGACATCTAATCAAGCCAAATTACCTATAAATACTCAAAAAGCTAAACAAAGGCTAAGAGATATAATTACATCTAAACTTTTGGGGGGCAGAAAACATCATGTCAGTAACAAAAGTAAAAGCAATATGCAGACACTTTTTTTTTTGAGACGAAGTCTTGCTCTGTCACCAGGCTGGAGTGCAGTGGTATAATCTGAGCTTCCTGCATCCTCTGCCTCCCGGATTCAAGAGATTCTTCCACCTCAGCCTCCCGAGTAGCTGAGACTACAGGTGCGTCCCACCATTCCCAGCTACTTTTTTTTTTTTTTTTTTGTATTTTTGGTACAGATGGGTTTTCACCATGTTGGCTAGAATAGTCTCCATCTCTTGACCTCGTGATCCGCCCGCCTCAGCCTCCCAAAGTGCTGGGATTACAGGCGTGATCCACTGAGGCTGGCCTATTCATACACTTTTATATTTATTTTCTATATTGACAGCAAATTATGGAAAACAGTATTTTATTTGAACTTTCTTGAAAACACAGAAATGCAAAAATGACTTACATTAGCCATGGATGTTGAATAACACCAGCAATATAGCTTCAAAATATTTCCAATTATATGCTATAGTTGTTAACCATGAACATATTTAATTACTTACCCACTATTTTGACCCCCTGTTTGTCTGTTCATTGATCTACATGCCTCTGCCTGGAGTTTTAAAGGATCTAGGAATACATAAGACAAAAGCACTATATTTTCATTACCTTTGTAAATATCTTATCAACAAAATCTCCTTGCCTTTATGTACACTGATAATCTGCTTAAATGTAGTTTTAAAATAGCATTTTATAATCAATTCTCACTAGCAATTTTTCTATCTAAAAGTGTGAATTCCAGGAGTACAATTCACAATTACAAAAATATAGAACCAGCCCATATGCCCATCAATCAATGAGTGGATAAACAAATTATATATATATACATACATACATACCGTGGATTACTACTCAGCCATAAAAAGAAAGGAAGAAATGGCATTCACAGTAACCTGGATGGAATTGCATGCCATTATTCTTAATGAAGTAACTCAGAAATGGGAAACCAAACACCATATGTTCTCACTCATAAGAGGAGTTAACGTATGAGGACACAAGTGCTTAAGAATGATTCAGTGGACTTTGGGGACTCGAGGGAACAGATGGGAAATGAGTGAGGGATAAAAGACTGCAAATGTGAGGGTTGGGTGTGGTGGCTCACAGCTGTTATCCCAGCACTTTGGGAGGCCAAGGCAGGCAGATCAATTGAGGTCAGGAGTTTGAGACCAGCCTGACCAACATAGTGGAAACCCCAACTCGACCGAAAATACAAAAAATTAGCCAGGCATGGTGACGGGGACCTGTAATCCCCGCTACTTAGGAGGCTGAGGCAGGAGAATTTGCAGCCCTTTTTCTACAAAGTTCTAAATAACTTGAGCATTAGCCTGCCCCTTAATTTGCAGGTAATTGAAGGAGGGTATCATGGAAATAGATACAGTTGCCAAGAGACCATCTTTTGGGGATTCTGGAAGCATTGCCTGTGAGTTCCATCTGCTCTGAAAGGAGCATCAGGGCTCAATGAGAGATTAATATCTAACAACACCAGCTTGCCCTTGAATTCTTTTCCAGGTGAAGCCAGGAACCTCCCTGGGCGAAACACCAGTTTGGGGGCTCACTTGTTGTGAATCAGTTATAACTTAAATGGAGATGTGCTTCAGGAGTCATGTTCAAAATATTTCAGAAAACATTATTTCCTCAGGGAAGGGATGTATTTGCTTTATGCCTCCAAAAGGGACCTCTTACAATAGTAAAAATGAATGGAATAAATCCACATGGATCATCCCAGATAAATGTTAGAAACCTGAAGTTGAGAGAAACCAATTTTCCGAAGACTGCATACAGAATAAGGCTACTTTTATACAGCTTAAAACTAAATAAAACTTAAAAATATGTCTCCCAGCAATGCATATATATGTGATGAAATAATTTACCAAGACAAGAGAAAGCTAAACACAAGACCCAACATGGTGGTGACTTATGAGTGAGAGGCAGGAGATGGGGTGAGGACAAGGTACAAAGTATGTGCCAATGATTACTACATTCAGTTTCTTTGGTGACGTGATAGATTTAGGTTTTATATATTATTTTTCTTTATAAAAATACATAACATACTGGGTTTGGCATGTATTAAATATTTTATATTAACACATAAAGAAAAAATTATAGTGACACATATAAACACTGGTATTTACCAAAGACGAAAACCATACATTAAAATTTTTTTGAAAAGAGGAAGTAACATTTCCAACATTTTCTTTTATGGAATTATATAGTTTAGGAATTTCAACTTTTAAAAATTTTGTTTCTTGCCACTTTTGTGTTGAGATGCACTCCGTATATTCATGAAATTGTGGATGTATGTTCTGTGTCATGGAAATGGTACCAGAGCAGAAATTGGGAAAAATAGGTTCAAGTGAGAACTTTACACTTAACTCTTTCGGTGATTTTGGTCAAGTAACTTCTCTGAATCTCTTTCTTAGTGAAATTAGCAATTTAATGAAGTGTTCTCTGAGGTCCCTTCCAACTCCAAAGTTTTATGCAAGCGTGACTTCGATCTGTTATAAACCCAAATATTAGGATAATGGTGAGGAAATATAATACATTGGTATTATATTCAATTGCTTCTGAATTGTTAGGAATTATGTTGAAAATGCTGTTTAAACATTTATTTGTTATTTTTTCCACTAATAAACTTATAAATAAGTCTGTTACATAGTCTGAAAAAATGAGGGTAATTAATATACACGTGCCAAATATCAAGGCAAAAGAAATTAACTTGCAGTTTCATGACACTGTGAACACAGCCATACCTTGGAGTCAACAACGTACTTAGTCAAAAATTTAAAGGCTAATGTACTTGCCTGAGATGGTAAATCACAGTTCACACATGAATTGGATTCAGACCCATTTTTGTCTTTGTTGTTCTTTGCTTTTCCACCCACAGGGCAGAAGTGTTAATGACTACAAACGTGATGCTTTTCAACAGCTCAAAAACTATTTCTCCTGTGAAACTTTTAACATATAGCTGAACAACAAAGAGTTTTGGAGGTAATACCCTTAAGAGAAATGATAGGTGATCAAACATCAGATTTCTCAATATTTCTGTCTGCATGTCAAGTAAAATATGGGATTCTGCTTGATTTAATTTTTGAGATTCAATGAGATAAGCCATATTCATTAAAATAGTAAGAAAGCCTTAAGTATGATTGCTTGCAAGATATGTTGAAAATCACTAAGCAATGTGAAAATATAAGCAGATGAATTACCTATTAAATCTAATAATTTCCCCTGGAAACAGATTTTGACAGAGTTCTGACTTCTAAGAGAACCATATTATTACTTTGCCTAGTGTAACTGTCAGATGCATGTACAATTATGAAATAATTCACAATTTTTTTTCAAATGCAGCTTTCCCATTAGCTTATATTTTTAACTTGTGTAAGTTGGTTTGTTTTTGTTTTTGTTTTTTTTCCCATAAAGGAAGCCAAAATACAGCGTGTGGTGACTCACACCTGTAATTCCAGCACTTTGGAAGGCCGAGAGGAGGGAGGATCATGAGATCAAGACCATCCTGACTACAAGTGAAACCCTGTCTCAACTAAAATTACAAAAAATTAGCTTGTTGTGGTGGCACGTGCCTGTAATCCCAGCTACGTGGGAGGCTGAGGTAGGAAAATTGCTTCAACCTGGGAGGTGAGATCACACCACTGTGCTCCAGCCTGGGCAACGAAGCAAGACGCTGGCTCAAAAAAAAAGAAAAAAAGCCAAAATAATTCTTCTCTCATGTAACTTAGTTATTACATTTACATTGTACTACTTTCTGATAAATAGGCCTTTCCACTGATAAATCAAAGTTACAGAGACAAATATATAGCAATAGTAATAAGTACATTTTGGTATAACATACAGTCTGCTTAAAGCAATCACAAGACGATATTCTCAACATATATTCTACTGCTCATCTCTTACTTCCATGGCACCTTCATTTGGACCTACTGTGTTTTAAATGATCCAGTCATTATCTAGAATAGCATTCCAAAAACAAATTAAATTATTTAATTCATTAGCTATATAAATGGATCAGTCATTTCAACGATGCGTATATCCAACTCACATTTCTCTAATCTTCATACGCATAAAGCCACAGAATGATCTCCGCCTTGGCCCACTGAAGATGGTATGTTTCTTCCTGTCTTCAAGCAGCAAGTGCCAGTGAAGGGATGTCTAATATGAATAATCCATTTGGTTTCCTATTTGTTCTAATAAATCATGCCAAAGATGTGGTTATTTACTGTGATATAACAGACCACCCCAACATTTAGTGACTTAAAATAATAATTATTTTTTGTGTCCCCGAATCTGTACTTTGTGTAGGGCTTGGCAGGAATGGCTCATCTCTTTTCCACAGGCATCGACTGGGGCAGCTTGGCAAAGACTGGCATTTTCATTTCCAAGGCAGCTCCTCGACATGGCTGATTAGTGCCGACTGGAAGTGTGCTGAGATCTCAGCTTTGGCTGTAATCAGGGGCCGCTATGATGGAGGCCACTGGAAATTTTACAGTTAAATGTATTTTCTACTACACCACTTCAGTTCTTTTTCCAAAAACACTGGAAGCTAAGCTGCATTTTATTTGTTGGTTTCTTCAATAATAAATATTTCACTGTTACTTCTAATTCTTTTTTTCCAGTTATGTCATTCCTCATTTTTTTCCCTTTTTTCTAAATTCCATTTTATTATACTTAAGGTGCCCTTAATATAGCCATCATACTCCTGATAGTGTTCTTTCTTTCTTTGCCTTCTTATATAAGCCCTATACACACATATTTCATCTCCTTTGTTATCTTTCCATTTCTTCACTGAGTCTCTTCGATCTTTTTTTTATAGCTGGTTCTCTCAAAATGTCTTACTTTGCCACTTTGAAAACTTATTTTAATTCTTTCATGCACCAAAAACAATTTGAAAATACTCTATTGTGGTGGTATGTACCAATGATTTTCAAAGAAATGTTTATATTAATTGCTGTGTTTTGGAAGGTTAAGAGAATCTCATTCAGAAAGTAAGTTGGTTCAAAATTCTCGAACAAATTTACGACACATCTAGCAGATACTTAGCAAGTTGTTTGGTAGACATTAGTAGTATTTACCAACGCCTGCTTCTCCTTGTAAGCAAATATATATCTATATTTGCCCCTGTTACTAGGAAAGAAATTTCGTCTGTGGTAGTGGAAATCCCATGGGGGTTTATTAGATTCTCCTTGCACCCTTGTTGCAATGATATTGGAAGCAGAGTTGTGATAAATCGGTTTGATCAGACAAAATTAGAGATATCTGGGTTGTGGAGAGCAGCTGCTTTGCAGTATGGTCTGAGACCCACAGCAGTCTTGTGTACATGGGAAATAAACTTTTATTGTTTTATGGCAATGAGAATTTGGGTTTGTTGTTACTCTCTCCTGGTAGGTTAATAATTTTGATACTATTTCTTTTTCTTTGACTATTAAGAATTTCATGTGACTATGAGAATTTGCAATACCATGCCACTCTCCTTTGATTTCACTGGTCTATGAAAACATGAAAAGCCGTATCTTTAGAATTACTACATCTGGAACCTTTGCTGTCTCTGTTCCTATCTAGTTAAGTGATATTCCAAGATACCATGAGTCCTTGCTGTTAATCCTTTTCATCTTTGTTATTTATATTTCTATATTAAATGGAAAATATATGCTTGGACAAAGGTGGAGAAGAGGAAAAGAAGTGAGTTTGACTTGTGAAACACTTTCCATGCTATCCCTGATTATGGTAACAAGTTGCACATCTTTCAAGAGCTCCTTTGCATTGATATTTTGGGAAACAGTTATTTGTTCTGCCTTCTTCCTGCCCAGTGATACATTTACACAGGCTGGTGATGATTTGTCAACATATTTCTGCTCTACTTAAATTAATTTAGCTCTAACTTTTTTTATGTTTCAGTGATTTCCTAAATTTTCTGTTGTGTTAAAATTTTGAATATGTGATTTGTGTGGGGCTAGAGGCTTTATCAACTACAATATAAGAAAGTTAAATGAAGAGCAGTTAACCACTACCATAAACTTAAGATATTAATATAATCTATTAAACAAAGGCCAGAAACATTTACTCAAAAGTTTATCCTACATAAGTGCTTAGAGCAGTGATACAATTATAAATAAGAAGGTACTTAAGGCTGTGAGGACTTAGTAAATAGCTCGAAAGCAGACACAGTTGAGCAACTCATTTCTGTGTTTGAGAGCATCTAATAGATAAAGTATCCTTAAATGTTCATAAATATATAGATGGATGGATATATATATATATATGTAAGTATATATTTATACAAGGTATGTAAATATCAGCTTGATATATTTCCTAAGCAAAAACTGAAGCTTCATTACAATTTTCAGGACTGTTACTCAGTATCTTCCATATTCTCTTTTCACTAAAATATAAGGTTTTTCCATTATATAATACCAACTGTGTATCTTAAATACTGCACATCTCAACTATGTTAGTCTGTTTCCATATGGCTATACAGAAATAACTGAGACTAGGAAATTTGTAAAAGAGAGGTTTAATTGACTCACAGTTCTGCATTGCTGGAGAGGCCTCAGAAGGCAGGCAGGAGAGAGGGAGTGCAAGCAAGGGAAAGGCCAGCCGCTTATTAAACTATCAGATCTCCTGAGACTCACTCACTATCATGAGAACAGCATTGGGGAAACCACCCCATCCTCCAGTCACCTCCTATCAGGTTTCTCCCTTGACACATGGCGATTACAATTCAAATTGAGATTGTTCCGGGACACAGAGCCATACCATACCACCAACTCACATTCTACAGCTTTTAATTTTCTGACAATTAAATATATTATTTTAGTCTGAGACTATTTGACATGTTTTGTTACTACAGAGTGTTAAGAGACAGAGTCTTCATTATAAATGTTAGCATATAGTTGAATTGTTTCCATAACTACTGTTCGAATTTTAATTTTGAGACACCTTCTTTCAAATGCATGCATTTGCTTATATTGGAGGATGGGAAGTATTTGGTATACAATTAGGAATGAATCAAAGGTAAGAATAAATTTGGGGTAATTTGCCAGCACTGCTGGTCAGTGGCTTCTGAAAACAAAAAGATAATTATTTTTATATGTGCCTCTCGATGATGCTTCCTATTAAGTGATTGGACAAATGTAATAAACAGGGATTGCTGATCATCTTCCGTAGTAAGATGTTTTCGGAGGAATTGGAGAAGTGAGTAAATAGTAGTGAGAAACTCCTGTTTCTGATGTTGCTCCACGTTGGAATGCTTTTATGTCTTCAGTAAATTAGTCTTTGAGAGCCAATTGTAATGATATACGGTGATTTTCCCCAGATTGGACATGGTCTCTGTACTGGTACCCTTTAAGTCAGAGGCACTCATCAGTCAGTCATCGTCATGCTCTGTGTCAGTCCCTCGTACGCCATGTCATCTTAGAGAACATACTGATGGGTCCTTAGCATTCTTTACAGTTTGAGCACTGGGACTCCTCATTTGGATAAAAACTATGGACAGTTGGGGAAACTGTTGGGATGGTCCCTCATAGCAGATTGGATTGCAATGCACTTTGTTTACATTTAATTTCTAGCTACAAACTTATGCAACTTTCCAAGCACTTTCTATATCACTATAACTAAAATAAAGTTGATAATTAAACTAAAAATGCCTTAATAGCTCCTTGTCTATATAATGCCAATAACTTGTTTTACCACATTTGCTAATTCTTTGTGAATGTAGCAGCATATTGATATGGCAACAATGTGCTAAAAATAGAATATTACAATATATAATCAATATTATTTAATTAATAAAACTAAATGTTAGCTTAAGCAGCAGTTATCACAGGACCCTTGAGACCATTTATATAGCTATCACTATTGAGGAGTTTCCTAACAGCAAATAGTAACCCATCAAGCAGTTTTCTTAGGTCCACAAGCAATTTTATTTATTTACAGTGAATGGAGAAATACTGTTGAAGCCCATACAAAGGGTCAAATACAATAGTACTTGCTATTATGTGTAAGATGCTATGTTATCCAAGAGTGTGTGGGTGTCTGTGTGTTGCATATACAGGAGTATATGTGTGTGTATGTGTGTTTACACCTGTCTTTCAATACCCTTAGAATTCTGGTCTCCATTTTGAAATGTGTAACTTTTCTAGATATTTGGGCTAACGGATTCTCCTATGAAAATGCCATTTTCATAATTAATTGATAGCAATAACCTGACATGGAGAAGCATATAATTTGTAATGGGAAAATCTTAGAGACCAATTAGTACTAAGGCAAATGAGAAGTAATTTTATAATCAAAAATGCCATCAAGGGTTACCTTATGTCTCTGTCCTATTTTTAAAGGTCTTTTATCACACACACACACACACACACACACACACACACACACAAGGGAGTTGTATATCATTAAAGAGAGTTGTATATCATTAAGAGAGTTGTATCATTATCATATCATTAAGAGAGTTGTATATTATTAAAAATGATTTACATAATCCAGGCCTATTCATATTTAACTATCTGTAAGCAATAGTAATTTTTAAAGAACAATACACGTGATTAAAATAGTGATAATTATAAAATTTTCTGAAACTATAGTTTACTTAAACTTTGTGCAAAATATATTTAAGAGAAATTTCCAGATAGCCAAACTTAATCATTAAGATGCCAGAAAGTACAAGAAAATAGTGAGGGGAACAACAGGGTGACAGATACAAGAAATAGAAAAAAAAAATTTGTTACTCTTTCATCTCAAAAATAATCTATATTAACTAGGAACCTTTAGTTTGTTTGTTTTTCCTTTTATTTCGCCGCCTGAAGTTAAGCACATTCATTGTGAATTGTGCTATGAGTTACAGTCGATGGTTTTTAATAGAAAAACAATCATGCTGAGAAATATTTTAAAAAATGAATTAAGAATGACATTTAGTCCAACATAAAAAAAATTTTTAAAGGAAAAAATAGTTCTACCTTAATGTTTTCATAAATTAGTACTGGCTAATTTTTCACAAATACATACCTAATTGACATTTAATCAAGCATACACAAGTGTATGTTAAATATAAATTAATTACTGTATGTTAAAAATACCATAATTTTATGGTGTGTAAACATGTAAGTACATTTTAGTTACCATTTAATTACTGATTTCACAGACTATAAATGTATAATTACCTAAATAACAATTCACCACCTTTCTAAGGAAACCATTTTTGTGGTTAGATATTATGTTAATTAGATGTTATTTCTACAATAATGTTTAAAAGTTGGAGGCGATTTAGCCTATCTATTTTACTTCTGAGTTAACTCATCCTCATGGTAATATATGTGGAAATTACCATGTGCATAAAGACTACTTATAAATGCATGGTTACATAATTATGATTTAATTACTCATCCAATGCAACAATGTGTTCATGGAAAATGCCAAAAAATTCCTGGGGTTTTACAATAAAAATTTTGTCTACTAATGAAATGAAGTTAATAAATGTGATTATTAGCCTATGGAAAACACTTTATAAAGTAAGAATTACTGTAAATAAATGGCATTGCAAATTAACACACTGCATTTTATATTATTACTTTTCTTGACTTTGCCCTTTCTCGCTCAGTGATTTTTTTTAGATACTGACTTTGCTCCATTATTTACCTTTTCTATTTTCTCTTATATGCTCAAATAAACTGCCTTATAGTCTATGTTGGAAGAAATACAATATTATTGCAAACTGACTTAAATTGACTTGTCCATTGGTAATTATTTTATTCCTTTTGCCAAATATGTAGCTTCCTATAGAAGAGGTTATAGAATTTTTACCATGTAAAGTCTATAACTAATAATAAGTTGCATCAGAGGTTAATTTCAGAAAAAAAATATCCTACACATACAAATGTTAGTAGCTCATAGGCAAGCAACTGTTACTACACCTTCTTTATAAGATAGTTGGAAGCCTTTTAAATTGTAGCAAAGTACCTTGTCTGAGACTTTCAAAAGAGGCAATGGGATTCTAGCAACAAGATTTATCTAGCATTTTAATGTAAGTTTGATTCTCTGTTGAGCTGCTTAACATAAGACTTTTTAATAATCCTAAAGCCAAGTTTCCACTCTAAGTGGTTTAAGATTTTTGTGCTCAGTAGAGTCATAGCTTTTATGTAATTCATGAAAGATTTGGGTCCCTAAAAGATATTCCTAGTCACCACCTGAATCTTAAGCACCACTGTTCATTTTAGCATCCATTTTGCTGTCAGGCCATCTCATATTGATCAAAATAAAGATAGTCGAAGCTCTTGCAGTAACAAATTTCTGTGATAAAACCTTCCAACTGTGGTGTTCCAATGAGGCCACTTTAGATACCAGCAAACATCCTTAGGGTGTAGACTCCCATGAATCACTGCATATAAATCTATAAAACTGAACATATTGAACTATTTAAAACTGAATTAAAGATAATATAGCAGACAGACAATATATATTATTACTGTCATAACTATTATGGCCAATTATTACTAAAGAAAACCAGAAGCAATTTGAGAATCAAATTTCACAATCA